GTATTTCTTATTTCAACTTATGTCAACATAATTTTCTCTTCCACTTTGATTTATAAAATAGCTGCATGTGTGTTCCTTCACCCTATCACACAGCCATATCAAATCCCTAACTGATTGTCCCTATCCAACAAGACAGAAAAGCTCACATTTTTCAACTCTTCTGATTGTTGTTTTAGAAGCTTGTTCCCCAGTTCTTTGAACCCCCTCTCAGCAGCCTCCCCTCCCTCCCCCTGCTCTGTCACAGAGATCTCCACCAAGGTGGGTCCATCCCTGCTGGTGGTGGCCCAATTCTAATGAACACCGTAGTCAGAGTAATTTATAACATTACCGAGACATAAATACGTTGGTTATCAGGGTGGGCAGGTTTGGTGCACTGGATATGAGTCAGCCTTTCAGAATTTGCTTCCGATGCTGATGCCCACCTTTGGTTGTTGGAATGCATTTAGACATTTAGAGCTTAGGGTGGGAGAGATGCGAAAGATAGAGGGGTAGGGGGGGTGTGGCACCTACCCTCTTTCCGGTGTGAAATACACAGTTGTCAAACATGGAATAGCGTGACACCTCTGTACATGACTGGGGAGTGGCAGCCTAGTGGTTAGGGCATAGAGCTTAGAAAGCAGAGGTTCTGAGCTGGAGCCCAGGGGGAGGGGTTTAATGCAGAGCTGAATTTCTCCAATGTGAGATTAATGCTCTGGAATCAGAGCAGGGGGGGGTGGGCATGGGGTCTTTCACAACTTTCTGCTCCACCAGTGTTATTTGTGAGACACAAAGAGGATCAATCTCTTTCTGTCGTTCTGATCTCCTATCATTGGTAAACTATTCTTTTTTTTAATGTTCCATCGATGTATATCCAGGAGTCTTCTTTATCTTCGCCATGCAAGTTAAAACTTTAGTCTTTCCCCGTATGATTGACAAATTCTATTTTGTGTTTTTCCCCAATGATTTGTAACCATGGCACGGAAGCACCATGTTTGTCAATCCGCCAGACCCATGAAATAACAACTGGATTGCTGCGTAGTGTTCAGGGCTTAACAATGTTTTGTGTGGTCCCCTTTATGCGTCTCCGTTTAGTGCTGGTATAAGTCCATGTGGGTGTAAGGGTTGGATGTGCGAATGTGACTGTATGAATGTGAATTTGTCTTTGTCTACTTGTCAGATTGAGTGTTTTATCCCCTCCCCCCACACCCACCCACCCACCTACTGGAACGTTGTACATTCAATGTGCTCTGTCTCCTTCCTGGCTTCAGCCAGACCTACGCCTCCTGGCCCTGTAAGGTCGCCACCTAATTGTGTTCCCTGGACCTCGGACACCTGGGCCCTCTTCTTGTCTCACGAGTGTCTGGTAGCCGGTGGAACCCATGGGCTGGCTGTCATGGCCTTAAGGGATCCAAGCACAATAGCTAGGGTAGGGCCCCTCAGGAACTGGCCCTCTTTGGGGTTTAGCCTCTCGGGGTTCGGGTTCAAGGTGCCATCCCTTTGTCTGCCCTCTTTGTTTCCCAGTGTTCTGAGTTGTCTGTGGTAGAGTAGAGTCCTGCAATGGGTCGGGTACCCACGGGTCCCCGACGGGTCACCCACTAAAATGCTCTTTTGCGGGTGAAAAATACATAAATAAAAATAAACGGGTCGGGGGTCGGGCGGATATTTTTTTAGTGCGGGTGGGTAGTTGGTGATTTTTTTTTATGCGTGTGTGTTGTTATGGACATCAGAAATGTTATATTAATCAGGCACTGGGGTCACCCTTGTTGTAGCTTAAAGCCCTGCCGGCAGTGTGGGCTTCCCTCCAAAAAGGCCACAGTCAGTGCATACATGTCTGCTGCAGTGTTAATGGCGCTGTTCTGCAGCGCAGCGTACTATTGCCTATTACTGGATGTGTTAACGGGTCGGGTTGCGGATTAAATATCAACGGGTCGGGTTCGGATTTGAATTGAAGATATCCGCGGGTGACGGATCGGGTTTGGTAGTCATCCTAACGGGTTCGTGCGGGTGCGGGTTGGTAAAACTCAACCCGTGCAGGACTCTAGTCTGTGGATATCTGGAGCTAGGATCTCCTCCCTATTGGCCCTGTAAGGCGAGTCTGGGGCCACCCACACCTGCTATTAAGCAGATTTTCCATCTGGAAAATCTTTGTAAATTCTTTATTTATATAGCATGTCACTGCATAGAGACTGCAGGAGTTTTCTTCCAGGTGTTCACAGATACACACTAATACTAAATCCTGGGCTGCATCTATAGATATATACCACCCTGAATAATATTGTTTAATCGCCATAGGGTTTACCTTCAAACCCACGCATAACTAGGAGTAACTGTATGTCCTTTGTGTTTAAATTTTTGCTTTTTTGTTTTCTTTTTTCTATTTCCATAAGCTCTTTCCAGTCTGTATCTCTTTCCCTCTCCCTTAAGTTCTTATACCCTCTTTCTTTCTCACCTCCCTGTATTTATTTTACTCACAAAATAATTTTTAATAAAGTTTCATATATGAATACCAAGCAGAACCTTATGGCACAGTCATAATGGTCTGCTTGTGAAAGCAAATCTGTTGGACTATCATCTAGCTCCAGGACATCTATTCCCAGTGCTATATTGGCAAAACAGGGCACACAGAAAAGGGTGAGTTGCAAAGAATATGAGAAGATGAAGAAGAAGAGGCTCTGATGTAAACAAACCGACGGTGCAGTAGAAACAGCACTGCGGCTCTGCTGTGATGTGAGGAGCGGCTCTCATAAATAATGTAGCTGAGTGTGGAGCACCCAGCCAACAAGCAGACCGCCGCTTCTTAGTGAGGAAAACAGGCTAAACAAACAGCATGATGGCTGGTCACAGATGGCTAAACACACATCTGAGTCAGGTACCATTCACTGCTCTGGAAACTAAACACCTGTTTGCAGAGAGTTGAGAAAAAACACAGAAAAATCCTTTTGTTAAGGAACTTATGTTTATTCCAAAGAAAAGTGACCAACAACAAAAGTACACTACATGAAAGCTGGATGCATACGTTTAAAGTTAGCATTTACTGTCAATCTTTGTTGATAATTTTTTATCTAGAATGCAAAGGCCGAGTAGAACAGACTGATTTGTAAATCAAAAGTCAGTAAAACTAAAGGTGAAAGGAGCTGTAGAGAAAAGAGAAGCATTCACACTTTGCTCTAAAGAAGGCTTCTCTACCTCCCTTCAAAGGAACTTCAGCAATAACTCTTCAAAACTATTTTTTTCTTTTTCTTTTTGGACTCTAGTTGATCTCAACTTCTTCAAAGAGACTCAACCAGAGTCTCATTCCTTCTGTGTGGAAAAAAAGAGCAAAAATATAGACAAATACTCAAACCTTACTGTTGGTTATTGGTAGGTAAATATTTTAGTTAATTAATAAAATAATAATAATTATTATTAGTTTCAGAAAAGTTTTTATTACAGCATATTTCTATTTAGTTTGTGACTCTTATATGATGATGATTATGTCCCAGAACAAAGCACAATAACTCTGGCTACAATGAAAAAAAAAAAGTGCTTTCCGTGGCTTCTTTCTCACATCACAATCAGTGTGATTGCGTCAGTTTCCAGTGTGAGCAGAAGAAAGGATGTCGTCGTACCATAAGCCATGATATTAAAATTAATTGAGAAACAATGTTTATGCAGGTTATTTTTTATACCAAGAATAGCATGGTTGGTATAAAACACTTTGCTAACACCAACTCTTTCTAAAGAGGATTCTCTGCAGACCCGTCCAAAAGCTAAGTGGGCCTGATGGGTAATACTGGAACCATATTGCTCTAAAACAAACCATCTCCAACATTCTCCCTTTGAGTCTACAGTCGCTAATTTAAAGTATGAGAATGATGAATCATGGAGCATAAGAAAGAATGCTGCTGCCTTTATTTGCTGCTTTTTGCATGATATTAAAGTATTAAAATCAAAAAATGTAAAGTTGGTTTAATATTTCCCTTTTGTTTTGTTTTTTTACCTCTTGTTTTTGTTCACCTCTGGATGAACCAATTGAAATCTACGCTCAACTAATGTGCGCAGTAAAACAGGGTGATCTGAAGTTGTACCTACTGCAGCTGCTCCACAGCCAGAAACAACCCTGTGGTAGGCTTGGCTGATTGTAAATACAACAAACAACTACATCTTAAAATCTTTTGTGTTTCTTTTTTTAAATGGAAATGTGATTGACATTCAGGGAGGATGACACTACTTTTCTTGACATTAAATCAGAAACACTTTTCCTCCGAAATGACAGAAGTTTCCCACAGCAGCTCTTCATCCATAACCATGAGCTCCTGTTTTTAATGGACAAAAACTAAGTAAATATATTTACCAATGAAATTAGTACTTTGGTCCCTAAAGTAAGACAATTCGACATAGTTAACTCAAAATTAGAAAGTGAAATGTTTTTCTTTCTTATTTAAAACACAAAATCTTTATACTTTGGCAGATCATTGCCTCTCTATCAAAATGCATTTATGTCATTATATTACCCTCCCCCAAACCAGGATAATAATCATAAATAGGTATTCCTTAATGATTCCTTGAAAGAAAAAGACTGAATCAATAAAACAAACTTAGAAACGCATCATGAATTCTGAGAGACCAATACGCTGAATGCTTGTAGTTTATAAAGAGATGGCAGCGTTTGTGTTCCTTCATCTGTTTGTGTGCGTTTGGTTGTCCGTTTGTCTGCATGCCTGGAAGGGTCAAGACTAAAAGTGAAACGATGCAGCATCTGCTGACGCTTTAAGTGATATATCACTCCATTCCACTTCGTTTAGCATCACTTCGTCTGAGTCAATTGGTTCATGAGGAGCACTAATTAAGGGGAATGGCCTTGTTTACTGTCATGGCGACGCTCATTAAGCAGATATTTCTTTTTCCCTTTTTAGGAATCTGTGACATTAACGCACCCTTCACAAATTGTGGGTGGAGGAATAAATCAAAATGTCAGCAGCACTAAACGCACTCACACACAGTTGGACGGCAATGAGAACCCAGGAAGAGGCGTGTCCTACCTCTCTACGCCGTGAAGCCCAGCAGGTCTGCTTGATTTTCCAAACCACAGCGGCGACCAGTAACAACGACAGGAAGCAGCTGGAAAGAAGAGAGTGATGCTGACTGTTAGCAGATTAATTTATTCACCAAACTGATTTATGTTAAATGAAGAAATGTGCTGAAATGAGTTTTATGAGACAAAAGCTTTAAATAATGTTACAAAATGCTAGTTTTGTCAAGAATATCTGTGATTTCCAAAGGTTTTAACTATGCAAAGTCAAGTAAGAGATGATATATGAACTTTCACATAGTTCAAACAGATTATGCAACAGAGAGAGAGGATTTCATTAGAGGAGCTTTTGTCTTCAAAGACTATTAATGGCATATTGTATCCATCAACCTTATGTTCATAATTGAAGAAACAAGGGGTCCTTCTTTAATAAATCGTTGTGTCAAACTTAAATGCCAGATGTAAATTAAAAGCAAACCAAATGTAAGGAAAAAAATCTTCTATTTAAAGGAAGATTAATGACCTAAGAGAGACATGCATTGTTCGATTATTACAACAGAATCAGAAACGTTTGAGCTGCAACGTTATGTTGTGTTTCGCAAACTGTGGCTTAACTCTTAAGAGTTTGTTTTTTGGGCTAGAAAGTCTGATAGTTTATACATTTTTACATTCTTCTTGCCTTGCAGCAAAAAGGTTCTGGGTTTGATTCCTGGCTCAGGGTCTTTCTGCATGGAGTTTGCATGTTCTCCCTGACCATGCATGGGTTCTCTCTGGGTACTCCGGCTTCCTCCCACAGTCCAAAAACATGACTGTTAGGTTAATTGGCTTCTCTAAATTCTCCCTAGGTGTGAGTGTGTGTATGGATGGTTGTTGGTCCTGTGCGATGGACAGGCGACCTGTCCAGGGCTGCCCCCACCTCTCGCCCATTGACTGCTGAAGATAGGCACCAGCACCCCTCGCGACCCCACTTGGGACAAGCGTGTAAAGAAAATGGGTGGATGGATGGATGGATGGATGGATGGACATTCTAACCCAACAGACTGCATGACCTCAGTTTTCTAAAGATGGAGGAATTAGTGAAGGCCAATTAATATCAATTGTCGCCATGACAGCAGAGCTAAATGAACAGTGCTTTGCTAAAGTATTCAAACCTCCTGAATGGTTGAACATTTTATTATGCTCATATTTTGTTGCATTTGGTGCTGAAAATGTTACTTAAAAAATGTAACTAGTTATAATTTGTAGTTAATTTCCAAAAAATAAAAAAGTTAGTAACTTAGTTACTGCACAATCAAAGTAGGTAGTTACAGTGCTAGTGAAAATAACTTTGCAGTTACTTGTTATTATTTAAAACATTTGGATAACATTTGCTATTTGAACTTAAAAAAAAAACATGACTAATGTTAATAAATGAATTAATTTTTTTAATTCATATCAGAAAATGTTTTATACAAATCTACACCATTCTGGTGTATGTTGTTGGACAAGTGTGTAACAGTTTAACTATTGAGAAATTATCATGTTTTATTTTTAATGGTAAATGAACAGTAAAGCTCATTTGATTTTTATAGAACTTTGTATTTCTGGGTGTTGCTACTAAAGGGATTTCAAGTAGTTTGACAAGAATAAAATAATACAATGTTCCATAAAAAGAAAACTAAAAATAATCAACTGAACTTTGTTTCCAGGTTTAAAGACGTTTCTCTTCCATCCTGTAAGCTTTTTCTATTCAAAATGTCAGAAATAGCGTTGAGTTCCAGTTTTTTATAGAGTAGCCCAACAAAGCCTGGTTTTTGTTTAGATGTGCAAATTGAAACAGATGAACGGGTCCCCCCCCTTTGGAATGGGGGTCGTTTGGCTTCTTTGTTAGCCTGTAATGCCCCATACCTGCCTATGTCTCTGAAAGGGGGGTCATTAGAGGGAATTGTTGGCCTGGCTGAATATCCGAGGTCTCCTGCTCCTCTGTATAGGGGTTGGGGCTGCAATGATAGCGGGAACTCAACTCAACGTTTAATATTGTTTTTTCTTTGTTAACATAGATGGCTTCCTTCATGCCCCTCTCAAACCACCTGTCTGCTTTGTCCAAAATGTGAACATTCCTCCAAACAATGTCCTTTATCCATAAGGTGTAGATGTAGCGCATAGTCTTGTCCAGAGGAGGGCACTCTTCTGTGTTGGGCCATGCGTCTGTGGAGAGGTTTTTTGGTTTCTCCAAAATAAAGATCAGAGCACTGTACATCACTGCATTGAACTGCAGACACCACTCTGCTCAGATTTGGTCTGGGGTTATTTTTGCAATTACTATGACCTAGATGACTGAGAATCTTCACCAAAATTATACAATTAAGTAAAATAAAACAGGGGTCCACTTTTCAAGAAAAAATTAAAAGTAGGACAGTATAAGCCCTGAGTTCCCGTATATCAAAAAAGCAGAAAAACATGCAAGGCCATTCAGAGCCTCAACATGCAGGCAGCCAGCTGTCAGTCAGGGTTGATGAGGGTGAGATCAGATGCAGAGCTTCTTTGGATTAGAGATGTTTCTAAGCATTCCAAAAAAATGCTTAGAAACATTTTGTTAAGCATTCCAAAAAAAACAGCCTATTCACCAAAAATGATGCTGCAGCGGCTCTAGGAGGATGTGAAAAGGACAACATCCTCATAGAGAGAGGCTGGATCTCGGTGAAGGCTAGTGCTTTTTTCTGGGGTTGGACCAAATAGCTCATCTGCCAATCTCAGAAGGCTGCCATGCCTGTGTCGGCCCCATTGTCTCTTTACTCTGGGGCGCCTTTAGAAACTCAGGCTCTGGTCTTCGCTGTTTCAGCCCTGGGCTCTTTTGCTTGGGTCTGGGGCCCCTCACACCTGCTATTGAGCATGTCCTCCTGTTTAAGAAGCCTTATAATCCTTATATATACAAGATAATTAATGCATATACACCAAAGGTGCTTGGATTCAGGTGTTCATTGATACAGTGATGTTTAATATCAAACTGCAGCTACAAATATGGCTCTGAATAACATTATGTAATTTTCATAGATCTTGCTGTTGATGTTTATAAACATGTATTTACTGCATGTCAATGGGATACTACCTCGTCTGTCATGGTTGGTGTGTTTTTTCCCCTTTCTTCTCATTTCTTACAGGTGTGGTAGCAGATTTCTAGGATTTATTTAGTATATTGTGTGTTTTTTCTATGCCTATGCTTTTGGAAGATTTAAAAGATTCCTGATACACAGCACTAAAACTAGTGCAATTTGTGATGTAATGTTTTATGTGATCTGTTTAAACTGGCTCAAAGGCAAGTAAATATTGTGCTCAGTCCTCTACATGTAGACATCAGGGTTGTGGAGCTTGTTTCTGTGAAATGTTGCCCGCACACAAATGCATGCTAGACTAAATACCGTGAAAACTAATGCACTGCTGCTTAAATTATTTTTGTTTTTCTTCGGAAATGTCATAATGCTTTTTATTCTAGATTATATAACAGTACTCTGCCAGCACTGCAAGTGACAAATTTGCAAACATCATGCATTTCTTGTTTCTAGTGGTCTTTGCAGAAGTAAAACAAAAAAAAAAGAAAACTGCAGTCACAGAGCGGCATGTTCACAGTAATTTACTGCCCACCAGCCCCAGCTTCCAGAGAGCAACTCTGACAAAGAAGAGAGATATTCTTTAGAAATCTGAGGCGATACAGAACTGCACTGACCACAGGCTGTTAGGGGGTTTACAGGACAGTAAGGAGCAGCGAGGGGTCAACAAGCATCATGATACTCTCCAACAAAGAACAGCCTCTCCTGTTCACACACATACTGTTTTAAAGTTCAGTGTCTGGAGGGCTAAGTTATCAAGCCAAACAAAGGTCCTTTCTTAACCACAGCTTCTGACAAAAACTCAAAACAAGCGCTCCCAAAGTCCTAACAACAGGAAGTGCTTAAGAAACAGCTGAGAGCAGCAGCTCTGGAACAATCCTCCTCTTTATCCAGTTGTGAGAAACTGTGTCAGGGTCTGCGCGCATGCTTCCGCCGACGCCTCAGAATGGAGATGACAACTCTGTTAAGGAGAATTAGATCCGTAATGAGCGTGACATTTTCAGAGCCAGCGTGCTGAATAGGCAACAGTCAGGGCTCCTTTACTCTGTTGTCGACCTCAGAGACTCCAGGAAACCAGGAAATGAAATCCCCTCTGGTGACGAGAACAATATGCTGACTGCTGCTGCTGGAGGAGGAAAACCAGTTTGTTCAAGGAGCCCAAGGTGATTTCCATCCATGGAGGGAAAACAATGGATCCATTTTATTGACACAATATATTCCCAGCAGCCATTTCACCACATCAATCATTTCAGCACATCACAGCATGATTTTAAACAAAGGTTCCCAAACTTTCAGACCCATGAAAACGTTCCAGAAGGGACACAAACTGCTGGAATAGAAATATGTATTTTTGAAAAATCTATCAAAAGCAATAAATGGTTTTCTCTGTGTCTCAGTGAAGATTTTATAACTTTAACCCCCCAAAAAGTTTTCTTAATATAAGTTTTATTGTTTAATTTAATTTCTATAGAAGACCCAAACTTTGGGAATCAGGGATCTATAAGTATCGTTTTTAAACTTCCAGCCTGTTCGATGATACCGTCTTCAGTTTTACATCATGAATTCTCAGTTTTATGAATGTTGACTACATTTCTTTAAGCTTAGAGAAATTACCATGAGGGGTATTTTATAGTTTTATACCGCGCAGTGACTGTTCCAGACTAACATTTACCAGGGGACCCAGGGCCATCCCCGTGGCACTTAATGAGGAACAGAATCAAAGCATGGAAGAAAACGGTCAATAGTTCATGGTTTTATATATTAATTCAACCAAAGATTCACCTTCAGCTCTGCAGATGCAGCTAATAAAAACTGTGATTCTTATAATGACCTTGAAAAAAATCTAGTTATTGCATTGTTATGCCATAAGCCCGCGGTTCTCAAAGTGTGTGGCGCGACCCACTGGTGGGGAATTGAGACGTGACAGGTGGGGCGCGCCAAGTTCCGGTGTGTGTGTGTGTGTGTGTGTGTGTGTGTGTGTGTGTGTGTGTGTGTGTGTGTGT